CCAACGTATATGAAACCCTCACCGAAATTGCTATACGCTGCAAACAATTGATCCCAAGTCAGTGATAAGCTTTGACTTTGTTAACCTCCCACCTATCTATTTTCCTTGCATGCTTTCTCTCCCCTGCGTACGCGCGCTTTCCTTCAGCTTGGTAATTTACGCAGTTGCAGGACAAAAATGTATGTGTATATTATGTATGTGGCCGTCGACTCTGTACTGAAAGGTGCTAAAAGTTTACTCCAAGCTATCATGCAATGAAATTGCATCAATCAGATGTGCCTTCTTTTTGACTAAAGCTATTTTTTTGGTTTCAGTAAGTGATTGTGCACGAGGGATACACGGGTCAGGATAGCGGACTGCATTCGTACGGCATTACACATGCCTACCTCCTTCTTAGCGAGCTGGATATAATAAAGACGGCTTAACATGTAACAATGGTTGCACAGCATTAATAAATAAAAAAAACAGCTAATTAAGAGATTTCATAAAAAACTAAAAAAATTCCTAGAAACCGCAATTTGGCAGCAACAACAACATTCAAATAGAACCCAGGCTGAAACGCATCAGGCTTGCCAGTGCGATCATGCGTTTTTGCACCAAACTCACAAGTCGCTACTAGCAAGAATGATCCCTGCGCGGTCACCTAACACTTGGGCTCATATTGGCCGTGCTTTGGCCCCTTCCGACATGCAGACGGATGTCGGTTGGGATAAAGGTGGTGCATTACAGAGCCGCACGGACATCCAGGTACATGATTACCAATTTTTTGCATGAAGTCTGATCGTTTTTTCGGTAAATGCTCGCTTTTTGAAAAAATGCAAATTTCCATTTCACCAAAAAGCGTAAGTGTTGCTAGAGTGGTCGTTTGTCAAAAAATCCAACATTTACATATTAGGATGAGGGCAGTCGCTCGCTGCAAAACGCACTGGTTTCTGATTTTTCGGTAAAGTTGAGTATTTCTATGTCCACCTGCAAGGAATTTCACCTCCAAGCAGAATTACGACTGCATTTGAAAGTAGATTATCCCAGCGAATTTTCAGTCTCGAAACTTATCCGGCAAGCGAAATGACGTGGTCGTGGTCGTGCGTGGTCGTGCGCACTGCATAAGCGTGCGCGGCAGTTGAATTTGAAATCTTTAGCTCGCATATGCACAGAGAATATCCTTGCCTAGTTTACAAAATCGGTCCTGGTCAAGGAAATTTGCATATTTTCTTCGGGGTTCCATGCGCGGAGTATAGGTGCGTGTGGGGAAGATCTTAAAACGGGAGGGTGATACAGGGGGCAGGGAAATATATTCAAAATTTCAGTCTCTCAGCTTTTCTGGTTGCTGAGATAAAAGTGGGTGAGAAAATGCACTCGCTTCCGAACACACACACACAGCGCTATAGCGCTGTTACAGCGTAGCACAGTGAACAACAAAAACGCATAAAAACGAACTGTTCCAAAAGAAGTTATAAGTTCTACGAGAAGCTTCACGTTTTTACATCCAGAGATGTAAAGCTGTCAAAATCACTGAGATTCACAGCGAAAATCAGTTCCATGCGTTTCATGAAGAACTGTTTCAAGCAAATCATCATAAAAAACGTTAGCAGCCAAAAAGGAGAGGATGGGAAGAGAAGGTGAGTAGAGAAGTTTCCATGCGGAATGATGAAATTTGCTGCTCAAGATAAATAACGGGGTAGAAGACTCATTGTCTTATGACTGCTAACCTAACACACTAAAATAAGTAACAATTCGAAAATAATCACTTTGCGCAGAAAGCGTGATTTTAAGGGAATGTTTGCTGCATACGAACAGATCCGTAACGTAAAACCAACCCCTACGTCCCCTAAATTTCACGTTGCTGCTTCGCTTCCCGATCCCTAATGCGTTCCTACTCACGTATCTCCTCGCTACTTCGTCGATGCTGCATTCTCAAGGCATTCCCATGACACTCCCTCCCCGTTTCATCAGCAGATTTGCGAATCCGCATTGCTTCATTGTTAGCTTCTCTTTCTCGTTGTCTGTATTCGAAATTCTCTTCCCTGCGCACCCTCATCGATTCTGAGTAAGTTTCCCTTTCATTTTCTCTGTACTCCAGATTCGTTTCCCAGCGTTGTCGCATTGCTTGAACTCTCTCTTTTTCTCGGAATTCAGGGTGTGCGACCCGTCGTTGTTGCTTTGCCTCGTCGTCTGAAAGCCTTTCCAATTCTCGATAGTCCATCTGTCGACGTTGTCGCATTGCTTCGGCATTTGCAATCCTTTCCATTTCATGGTATTCAATGTCCGTTTGTCGACGCTGTCGCACTGTTTCGATGTTTGCAATCCTTTCTATTATTTGGTACTCAGTGTCCTTCTATCATTGCTTTGGCATTTGCAATCCTTTCCATTTCTTGGCATCAAATGTCAGTTTGTCGACGTTGCCGCATTGCTTCGGCATTGGCAATCCTTTCTGCTACTTGGTATTTAATGTCCGTCTGTCGACGCTGTCGCATTGCTTCGCTGAGAACGTCGATTCTCGACGTCCCGCTGGAACGTCATCGAAAGATTATTTCTTAATGTCACCTGGTTTTACTATTTCACATCGCAGTAGTATCCTGTCTCCTACACGAATCTGAGTTCGTGTCACCTGTCTATCGTGAAGTTGTTTCACAATTTCTGACAACGGGGATTGAGAATGTTTTGCATGGGAATCGAGGAAAGGATTTGACCATCGCAGGTCTCATCTACGGTGGGAAAAGCGGCGGGAGCATAAGCAGTGTGGGAACGCGGGAATCGGATTCCTGTCGGAGATTCGGTCTTCGCTGGGAACGTCGATTCCCGACGTCCCGCTGGAATGTCATCGATAGATGACTAAGCATTCTATTTGTTTTTAGAAAAAGTGTGTTTGTTTGAATCTAGGTACTGCGTATGTCAATGGATCGAAATACCCCTGGAAAGTGTCGAGCCAGACTAAATTAGAACAAGATTAACATTCATCGACGTCAGTTTCAGACGAAGATGGTATATAGTTGGGTTTAATAAAATTATCCACCCCAAATCGAGTATCTCGCCCGAATATCAGAAAGGCTTTCTCCTGTCGTCTCATTTACTGTAAAGACGCGAATGCGCCGCCCACCTAGGCCCATATACCCCAAGGTTTATGACCAGGGTCAGCCGTTACCCAAAATGGGAGATGCAAAATGGAAGATCGCTTTGCTCCCCTTCCCCCCATCCCAAATGATAAAACCAAAATAAACAGAATACTTAGTCATCTTGTACACGTTATTATGGAGATCGATGATATGAAACGAGCACGTGCATGCCAGAGTCAGGTCCCTCTTCAAAAATAAGTATTATTGATTCCAATGATGATGGAACCCCTATTTCTGAGTTGGTTAAGATGGTGCGTTGACCTTCACTCACTGCAGCCGTCAGGTGCCCATTGTAAGATGCGACTGATAAGCAGAGGGTTAGAACAGGATGGGCTCGGAAAGGCTGGTTCAGTGACTGGACTGGGACTTGCTGACAATCCAGAATAGATTCAATAATACTTCTGTGTCCGTACGGCAAAATGATTTCTGGATAGTTCGCTTTATATGCTGGCAGTTGGTGAGCATCACCGGTCAAAAATAGTTAAATTCCGGAAACTGGCGGCCAGCGTTATTATCTGGGCTTCAAGTATCAGACCTGCTTCATCACAAATGAGGCATGTGGCTTTCTCCCATTTGCAATTCTTTCCATTTTTTGGTATTCAATGTCCGACTGTCGACGTTCTCGCATTGCTTCAGCATCTGCAAGTCTTTCCATTTCTTGGTATTTCACGTTCGCCTTTCGGCGCTGTCGCACTGCTTTAGCATTTGCAATCCTTTCTTTTCCCTTGTATTCCAGGTCCGCCGCTCGTAGTTGCTGCTTAGCTTCAGCATCTGCAATCCTTTCTCTTACTTTGTAGCCTTCATCAGAAGCCCTGTGTTTTTTCATTGCTTCCCTGTTTGCAGTATTTTCTCTCTGCTTATAATCGTAATCCTGCTGAAGCAACCGCATGCGCTCCACAGCTTTTTCCCGTTCTTCTGCT